GAGTATTCTGAGGATAAATGGCACTCTAGATATTGTGAAAATAATTATGGATAAAAAAATTATAGGATGAGTCGTGTCTGTACGGATGCTGAAAATGTCATCTTGCCACAAATCATAAGGATTATGGGAAAGTTATTAAAGAATTGGTGAGAAAGTGATGATGTAAGTAACAAAATGTAGTGGAAAATTATTTATTATTTGTAGAAGTATGGGAACTAAAATTGTGAGTGAATAAAGTTGTTTACTAGCTAGAAATGGAAAATGTATAAATTTATCGTAATATCGAAAACATAATAGTAACATAATTTTAGGGAACATGGAGAGTATATTTGCTTTCATACAAAACTATACAGCACGACCCAACTTGGATTGGAACTATTATTGCCCAACATTATATGGTTTATGAGCTTGGTCTAAGTAACTTATAAATAGTTTGGCTTAACCCAGTACCATTGTTCTTTTATCAAAGCTTGGGCAGAATTGGGCTTGTGCTAACCGCTGAGATAACTTGATTTGAATTAGGGTTTGCACTGTCATCATATTCCCTTCTTGTATATTTGTCAGCCACAACCTATCATTTTGAACAACATCATCTTGATCGTTTTAAGCGGAGGATTTCGATTCTTCTGAAAATAGTAAAGAGGTTCAAGATACAAGGTTTATGTGCTTATATGTTTGGTCTATACATAGATCTAGTTGGCTAATTGATCTAGGGTTTTTTTTTTCAAATACTTGTGATGTATGATTAGCAATCTATATATTATGAGATTCATTTTGATTATTTTCTGAAGGAAATAAATAAAACTTTCCATTCCTATTTTTCCGCATGTTATGTAGACATTATCATGTGCTATTCGTTCGTATCTTACTTACCTCTTATTGTTGGTTAATTATTTGTTGGTCTACAGAGTATTCTGAGGATAAATGACACTCTAGATATTAGGAAAATAGTTTTGGATAAAAAAATTATAGGGTGATCGTGTTTAAACGGATGCTGACAAAGTCATCTTGCCACCAATCATAAGGATTATGGGAAAGTTATTAAAGAATTGGTGAGAAAGTGATGATGTAAGTAGCAAAATATAGTGGAAAATTAGTTATTATTTGTTAAAGTATGAGTACTAAAATTGAGAGTGAATAAAGTTGTTTACTAGCTAGAAATGGAAAATGTATAAATTTAGCGGACTATAAAAAATATAATAGTAACATAATTTTAGCGCACAGGGAGAATATTTTTTTGTTTCATTCAAAATTATACGCACGGCCAAACTTGGTTTGGAACTGTTATTAGCCCAATATTTTATGGTTTATGATCTTGTTCAAAGTAACGTATAAATAGTTTAGCCTAATCCAGAACCATTTCTCTATTATCAAAGCCCGGGCTGAATTGGGCTTGTGCTAACCGCTGATATAACTTTATTCGATTTAGGGTTTCTATTGTCATCATATTCTCTTCTTGTATATTTGTCATCTACAACCTATCATTTTTACCAATGTCATCTTGATCGTTTTCAACGGAGGAGTGCAATTCTTCTGAAAATAGTAAAGAGTTTCAAGATACAAGGTTTATGCATCATATGTTTGGTCTATACATAGATCTAGTTGGTCTATAATCGAACCGGATCAACAAATACCTTCACTACAAGAAATTATCAATTTTGTAATGAAGTTTTTTGGTTACTAAATTCATTTTTTCCGTTACTAATGATATTAGAGACGGAATTAGAGATGAAATTACGTTAGCTACGTGAACTTTAGTAACGGAATTCCTTTACAAATATACTATTTTCTTGTATTGCTTGTCTCATTTGTTATTTTGAGTTCTGCATTTTATTTATTGTCAAGGTATTGTTTGAACTGTGAACTAACCACGCTTCGGAAGTTGGCCCTTTTTTATGTTCGAGCGATATTTGTTTGATACATTACTTCCCAACAAGCCAGTTCTAGGCTAACCCCTGAATACGAGACTTCCGGGGTTTCTACTGATTCATAAACTGCGCAGTGCATTTACGGAATCCGTGCTAGACACACATTAACTTATGTAATGATTGGAATGTATCATGATAATTTATTGTTTATGCATATTTAACTTCTGAACTTTTTGTTCATGATGCTACACTTTTCATGTATCGATATGTTTTCATGGCCATCGAACTGCTGATTGCATAATATTGACAAGGATTCTATCATATATCGTTCCATATAGATTTTGACCGTAGTTAGGCCCCTAAGCACTTCACACTTGCATCTCTACTTTTATGATATTTTCACATAGTAAGTGAAAAATCTTTTTAAATTCCGTGTTACATGTTTGCATGTTTACTTGCACCTACAGTAACGAATAAAAATTTGATTCACCATTGAAATTCTTTACATTATTAATGTATTTGATATATACATATGTACTCCCTCCACACACATATATATATTTATATATTAAAAATATTAGTACTCCCTCCATTTCAATCTAAAAAAGTCATTTGAGTTTTTTTTTTTTTTTAGTAAAATAAAAAATAATAATATTTTAATAGTCCGTGGAAGTATGTGAGATAATTTTTATTTTTTTGTCCTTTGTATATTAAGTATAAATTAATTATATATGTAATAATATATTTGCAATTTGTGTAAAATTTAAAAGATATTTTGATATTAGTATGTGACTACTTTGAATATAATAAAAATATATATTTTTTAATGAAACAAATGAAAATGATAAAATAGATAATTTTAGTTGAAACATATGAAATATTTCATATATGATGGCTAGTATCTAAGTATATTATGTAATTGCCCACAAAAGTAGAATTGACATATAATGATAAAATTATAATTTTAAGCTAAATACTCCCTCCGTCTAAAAAGAAGTGTCTTAAGAGTTGGCACGAGAATTAAGGAGTAATAGTATTTAATTAAAAGTGGGTATAAAATAGAATGTAAATGACTAAAATACCCTTGCTTTTTTAAGGATTTTAAAGAGTATGTTAGAGTAATAATTATGGATAGTATAAAAAAATATGAATAATTTTGTTTTAAAGTGGGGACCACGGTTATTAAATAAGGAAATAAGACAATTGTTTTGGGACATACGAAAATGGAAAAACAAGACAAATCTTTTGGGACGAAGGGAGTATAAAGGTACATTATGAATGTTGGGACATATTTACTAAATTAAAAGTTAACATGGGTGGTGGTTCTAGCCGGGTCGGTTTTTTTGTGCCGGGCTGGCTCAATCCAATTTTGTAGCAGGCCGAATAAGCATGGTCCGATTTCAAATCGGGCCTGAATATTTAGGCCTGAGCACGACCCAATTTAACACTTAAAAACCTTATCATCAATTTATACCTTAATTTTTGTTATTATTTCATTAATTAATATATATATATATATTAAATTTTAAATATTAATTTTAATAAATCGGACTGGCCAGGTATGGACCGACTTTCATGGACCCGAGCACGGCCTGTTCATTGGCATGTTGGGTCAGGAAAAGCCCAAAAGTTTTTGGACCTATTTTCTTAGGTTCAAGCACGATTTTTTTGTACCGAATCAAATTTTTGGAGCATACCTATTTTTGTCAGCTCCTTAAATAGATCGACTATAGACAATCCAAAATACTTTTTTCGTCCCAACTCTAAATATTATTTTTAGCATTTTTCTCTATCACACTCAAAACTATCTCTTTCCTATTTTAGAAAAATAATCATAAGTTAATATCAAAAATTTTTAATTTTTACTTAAATTAAAAACATACCATTAGAGTCTTTAACTTCTACGTAAATTTAAAAGCAAAAATATCAAAATCTCTATACACTTCCCCTAATTAATAAAATATTATTATTTCTTAATTTATTACAAAATTTTAAAAAACTTTTTTTTTGATTGAAATAGAAAAAATAATAATGAATATAATATTATATTGATCGCTTATAACATAAAATATAAATATTTTAAAAATTACATAAGAGCATTTGCGACAAAAAGTTTCACCAAAAGAACTTGAGGGGTAATATAAATAAATCAATAAATGGATATTGCTAGAATTATTCTCTACTTAGAAAGGTTCTAAGCACTTTCTTTCTCTTCCATAAATTTTTTTTTTTTAAATATTAATTTTAATTATTTTTTAATTTTTTCTTATTTTTAATTACTTTAAATATTATATATAATTAATAATATTTTTTATTTTAATTAGTTTTTTCCAATTTACATAAAAATATTTTCGTTCGATATATTTTTTTAAAAAAAAATTATATATTTTAGTTATATTTTAAATTTTATAATTTATTATTTTTTAATATTAATTAATTATTTAGTTATTTTAAATTTATTTTATAATTATTTATATTATACCATAATTATCTTATTAATATAATTTTTAATTATTTATTAATTAATTTTTCTTTAGGGATAGTAATGTGGATATTTTTATTGAGACGAAGGAAGTGATATTTATGTATTTTAAAAAATTAACATTTAATATAATATTATAAATTATATTATAAATTGATTATAGTTTTATAAATAAAAAATAAAATAAAATATTACAACATATAACTTTTTTTATTTTGTTATTTGAAAGAGAAATTTAAGAACTTATATTTTAGATTCTATAATAATATGAGAAAAGAACTATATAAGACTTGTATTATATAAGACTTCTATACGTAGGAGAGAGAAAAAATCATAAGAACTATTCTTATAATTTTGATTGTAGATGGTCTTAAGTATATTAATGAAGTTAGAGAAAAGAAATTATAAATTGAGCATGTAAATAATTTTGGCATTTTTATAAATAAGTATAATATTGGATGACATATATTAAGAATGTGTAAGAGTTATTGAATGACATATAAAATTTTGGATCTAGTTTACAGGTATTAAGTTCGACCGAAGGTTTATCCAGTGCGCACTTTCGAATAGCTGCTGCGATTTCCCACATCATTAATAAAAAATAAAAAAAAAAAAGTTATTTAATTTAAATGATATATATTTCTTAAATGTACAAATGAATGCTAACCTATTGCTAAAAGAATATAGGAATAAAACTAATAAAATACGTAATACAATTGATGGAAGCTTTATTCCATTGATGCATGTTATTGTGAATTACATGTAGTAGTAGCTCTATGATCGATTCTATCAATGTTTCTCTTTAGCATCTAATCAATTCTATTTCTGCATCTGGAGTTGTCTTGATACACATATGTATATATGTTATATATATATATATATATATATTTATCTCATAAATGGAAGTCGAAAACTGATCGAGTTTCGCGACAGGCGTACCTAATCCGATGCGACGAAGAATGTCTGCTGCTCAATGATTTCTTTGTATTCATAGGAATTCTTGTCGAGTTCATGATGTTCGCTCGAAGCCACCGCCGATCTGCATGTGCAGCCATTCCGGCGACGGGCGCTGCGCGTATTCACCTGCAGTCTGAGAGCCAAATGCGATGCCAGGAGCTTCAAGGTTTGGCTGAGCAAGATAGGGAGTTAGTGTAATGGAAAAATCGAAACGATGTAAGTAACAAAAAAATTGAATTAATTTTGGACATGTGTTGAGCACCTACATCTTTGGAAGGATATCCATCCATAGTCCCTCTTGCATTGACAGCTTCAAGCTTCATCGACAGAAACTGCAAGCACGGGGTGTGACTCTGATTTAGTGAATAATTTAAATGAAGTGATGATTAAATTTAGCGACAAAATGCAGCCGGGGAAAGAGGGGAGTTGAAGCTACCTCGACCTGGTGTTGCAATGACTGAATGTAATTAATTATCTCGTCGAGAACGAGCGCTTTGCCAATAACCTGTAAGCAATAAAATCCCTGTTAAAAGGTTGTGTTTTTGGATTATTACATGGACTGAGTCACGAAAGTAAAATAGATCTAGAATGAAAAGAAAACTATTTAGAGCTTGCAATATCTAAAATTAATTATTGATTTGAGGTCAAATTTTTCTTTAGCAAAATTGATTCTAAAGATGATCTTGATTCTTGCTAGCTACTATAACAGGAAAGAAGAAGCCTTACGTTGATCAGAACAAAGATTTGAAAAATTCAACACCAAATGGCAAGAAACTTCATATTTGGATATTCATGATATTCTAATCACTTCAAATGAAATGTTACAAATCCCTTGAAGAGAATAAACTTAAAAAGATATCGATGCTCACTTTATTGCAACCAGGGACCAAATCTTGGAGAATTTTCATCCGCTCGCTTATCTTTTCTCTCCTTGCCTGCACAAAGAGGATACATTGAAATAAAACTGCATAAAACCGTATATACTTCATCTACTAATGCCATGTATTCGTCAGATCAAGATTGATTCGGCTCATAGGCATATCATTGTATTCCACTCTTAATGGAAATCAGAGTAAAAAGGATAGAATCAAAATATGGAAACAGAGAATATATATAAGTTTTGTCAGTACTCTTTCAGCTAAGCTGTGACTATCAGTTGCTTGGCCTCTTCTTGCTCGAACATGAATAAAATCTTGCTTAGGTGCTTCGGCTTTAGCCAGCTGCTCTGCTGCTTTGCTCGAATTTCCTTCGGCTTCTACCCTACTTTCTTGATTCTCATTCAAACCCAACAATTTCAGCCTTTTACCATCAGCTCCATTCTTCCAAAGCAAAAATACATTAGAGAGTGCAATCAGGGAACCAGCAAGCAACTACACTAATAACAAAACCAGTTATTGCATAAGCCCCTAATGCAATTAAATTTCTTCATTTTATGACAATTTCAACTGCTGTCATGGAACCAGATTTTCAGTTTATGCATAAGCATCAAATGCAAGCAATATCACGATGATAGCAACGGTGGATTGAATTTTTAGGATAATCGGAACTTGCACATTTATAGCATTAATTTAAATATTAATTAAGGAGTGATGAAATCGATTCAAGCAAATTATACGAGTAAAAGTCGATTAATTTCGCAAATGTTACTTCGTTGTTTTGGTGGTGATTTCCGCCATTGCTGTTGCTAGTGGAAGCTCCTCCCCTTCCGTACTGCTCCTCTTCATCTCGCCGCTTCCTGGATGGATTCTGGTGATTTGATCTCGGGTCAATCACCATAGGATCCAAGCCGATATACGACGCCGCACCAGCATTCATATGAAACCCCTGCCAGATCTCCACAAAATTATTATAAACTCCGCTTCCACCACCGCCTCCGCCTCCACCTGCTCCTCCGTCGCTCATCATCGACGCACCTTGCGGATCCATTTCCCCCTCCGCCCAATTCAACCTCAACACTGTACTACTTCTTCGCAGATTCAGCAACAGCAACAGAGCGGAGCTATACTCAACTCTCCACTCCTTCAACACGCCACCGGCGCACAATAGCGACGGCGCCGCAGCCGCCGCAGCTCACTGAGGAGTAGAAAACAAGCGAATTGGAGTGAGCCTTTTCCGGAGGGTCCAGCGCATCGTGTCTCACGGATCCGTACTAAAATGTTACTCTACAACTGGCTCACCTACACCAACCAATCGCAGTTCGTAATTGTATATTATTAACGAATGGTCGCGGCCATTCATTTATAGCCAATTTCTTATCTAATAATTAACTAATAATTAGCCCTAATACTCCAATTAGTGTCAGTTAATAATTAGTTAAATTCCAAATCATAATTAACATAATCATCATCATGATAATGACGTACAGCCACAGGCACTGGTCCCGCAATCATTCATGGTTCTCAGCTCCGGTTGGGTCCCCCTGCCCGGACCAGACTGTCTGGTGTTGGGGTCCATGGATCTCCCGAGTAAAACGCCATATACACTTGAGATTTACTCATCGTTTCTCCAGAAAGTTCGTAACCATTTCCTTCATTCAGTACTTTAATTTGTCCTTCCTTCCCAAATCAAACGATGATTTGCCCTTGTTACAGGATTTTCTACTTAATTTTCATAATTTATAAATTTTTATTTTAATTAAATTATTTAATTATTTTTATTAAATTATAATTATTTTTACTAATATATTTTTTAATTATTTATTAATTATTCAATACCTAAAATTCTATGCTAAACGAATAAATTAGTTGAAATAAAGGGAATAGTATTAATAAGTAAAAACGTATAAAAACACAGCAATAACACAAATAGTGCACAATTTCCAAACCATGTTTTCCCTAATTATTTTTACATAATATGTATAATAAAATTACAAAAATTTTAAAAAATAATAATAATAATAACACATTTTTTTTTTTTTTTTTTTTGTTGCCAACATCATTCTTAATACGAAGACGAACATTTTCTGACTTTGAGATAAGATAATAAAAAGGGCGGCATTAGCATTTAAAAAAAAACAAACAATTATCCAAACCACAAAAACATACATATTTTTAATTATTATTTTGCTTTTGTATTTCTATTTTAATTTTTTTCTTAATATATTTAGTAAATGTGATAACTTATTAAAAAAATATATATACAACATATATTTAAATTGAATGCATCATTTTTGTCAATTTTTTATCAATCCACTTAAAAGTTTAAATTTTTTATTATACTCCCTCCGTCTCATAACAAAAATATTTATTTTTTAATTTTAATCTGCCTCGTAACAAAATATCCATTTTTTTTTAGTAATTATATTATCTACTTAACATTACAATACCCTTACAACTTACAATATATTACACATTACATTTATATCACACATACTAATAAGGTTATTTTAGCCATTTCTACTTTATTCCTACTATATTCCAATATAATACTAATATTTCTAAAATTAAGTGAAAAAACAAATGGATACTTCTTTTTGGGACAGAGTAAGTAGTACAAATAATCATACGTAATACTAAAATAATTTTAAACTTTTACATAAATTACATATATATCATTACACATACAATTAATGTATATATAAAATACAAATGGTAAAAATATTAAAATTATCTAACAAACTTCTACTTATCGATAAAATACTATTATTTTTTTAATCTACTATCAAAATTCAAAAATAGTTTGGACCCGAACGGAATGAGTAATATTTTTTAAAATTAATGATATTATATAGGAACTGAAAATTATCAAAATAAATAGATTAATAGTAGATTTCACACTTTTAAGTTTAACTTTTTTTTTTTTTTTCTAAATTAGGCCATGCTATGCTTAACTCACGATTTCGGAATTTAAAAAATAAAAAAATAATAATATTTGATGTACAATTTATGAAATATTTATTACAAATAAATAGTAGCAAAAATTTTAAAATTATTTGTTTAAATAGAACATTAAAATTTTTATTTTTATTTTATAAAAGTTGCTATTTTCTCAAAATTTCTTGGGTAAAAAAAGTTCTATACGAAAAACCTACAATAAGACTATAGAGTGTGTTTGTTTTGTAAAATAGTTTGAAGTGATATTTTTTATTTTTTTTTTATGTAAAGTATAGAAATTATGTAGGAAATATAAGAATAATTAATGTGTGAAATTTGTCTGAATTTTAAAATTCAGCATTATACTTAACAAAACACAACATGCTAACAAACAGCACACGATATTTCTATTGGAAGAACATCATTTATATTAATTTAATACAAATACAGCACATGAAGTAACATTATATAATATAGTCTCACACAACAAATGCGATATTTGATTTTAGCACATGGCATACTCTTATACAACACAGGCAGTAATCATGAACAAACAACACATACTTTTATTACAAACATCAAATGTTATATATAATAAAAATATGTGTTGTTTCTATATTTTAGGTGTAATGATTTGAAAAATTATCACCATAACCCTCCATGTATAATATATTAATTTTTTTTAGAAATGTATTAAGTAATTTTACAAAAAGAACACGCACTTGACAATCTAAAAATTTAAAAGCTCATGACAAAAGATAATCCAATGTAAAGAATTAATCAACGAATTGGTTAGTTATATTCCTCCGAGGACGACTCCCATACAATTCTTGCGAGAGCTGGAGAAGCGTCAACGGGTAAAGCATCGTATCCATATAACTACTTGCCACCTACGCTCGGCCATCCATGGAAAGTTTAGGAACCTCGAAAACACAATCCTTCTCCAATGCCCGGTTCACGAAGTAAATAATATAGATCTTATAAAGGATGGTTTATTAGTGTAAGTTGAACTTGTGGCTATAATCATATAGATTCAAATGTTTGACCTTTATAAGTTTTTCTTGTCACACCTAGTTTTCCAAAGTAATATACACGCTATTTTTCATTTATGGAATAATTCTTGTTAGAAACTCCAACTCTTCGAGTTGTCATTAACAAAAATAGCATTTTCATGGTTTGTCAATCTTCCACCAGGAAACATACAAACTTGAGAGGGTCTGGAGGCCGTATTTCATGCACGTTTCTTTAATTTGTTTCAAACGATGTCCCTTACCGATCTTCTGGAGACCAAGATAAATGCTAAAAGAAAACACCCTAGAGTTTATTTAGCGAATTCAGCTTATGCAAAGGTGTTGTCCGACCGCTATTAATGAGAGGGAAGATGACCAATCTAATGGTCTGAAACATACATGTGTGACTGCAAGAAGCTCTCACAACCCATGATATGTAAAATCTAACCCAATTAGCCTCCAAAGCAACTCGTCTATAATCATTATTTAGATAAAAGGATCAAAATTTCAAAAGAGAAAAGGTACAACAAACGGAAAATGTACAATAAAAAATTTATCCTCTCAATTCAGATGGATCAAGTGAGATAGAAGAGATGACGGCCAAAATTGTCAAAGGAAAGCCATATGTATGCCCTAAATTTAAACATATTCCAAGGACGGAGGTCAACAGAGAACAACCTACATTTAACGTATCCAAAGCGGATGAGATCTTCGACATACTTTAGCAAACATCCAAATTCGGATACCTAGGGGGCAACAACTAACAACCAAAGGTGAGATTAAGGGCAACCCTTATTGTAAGTGGCACGATTCTTTCACACATGGCACGAGTTAGTGCACTCACTTTCGGAAAGAAATACAAAAAGTTATAAGAGATTAGCGGTTGAAATATATTACTTTGGGAGTGGAACTTCTTTTTTTTTCCCCAAGATTACAGTTGCAGTGTTGGGTGCTAAAGTGAGTCCAGAGTATCAGAAGATCGAGGCTCATAAAAGGGTCAAATCTGATGAAGTCCAAGTGGCCTAGCAATGGAACGACTAGGCAAACCATACAAAATAAAAGTTAAATGAGGACTCTAGTGCAAGGGCAACCGATGCGCAAACCACACCACATTGATCCTGAAAACGAGAGTTAAAATAAAAGGCCCCAGCCTATTAATATCAATCCCAAATTTCCAAGCATGAACCATACTCAGATTCGTAATTTCAAATCTAGTTATGCCATTATGCAAGGTCGACGACCCCCTAGGGATACGAAAGATGCAAAAAATGAAAGACTGAAAAATTCCCAACCAAGCTAGAAGTTGCAGTCGATACTCACACTGATTGAAGATTGGTCAGAAAAATTGATGAGGCTAGGGTTGTGAACCCAAAAATTCTTAACAAAAAAGCCAAATATTTCCCATGTCAGTTTTGTCATCATATAAATATTAGGAGTGTAAATTTGTGTTTTCGGATCATGTTCGTGTCGAGTTGAACCATAGGTGTAAAAAAAAAAAAATTTAACCCGAATCTGATTCGAACCCGAAATTTGACCTAAAACCCTATATTCGAATATTTTACACGAATTCTTTCGGGTTCGGGTTCAAGTAAATGTGATTTAGTTTCAGGTCACCCAAAACTCGAATGAACTCGACACGAAACAAACTCGAAAACTTTTAAAATTTTAAACTTACCTAAAGAAAATCCATTTTTAATTAATTTTTAGATTATTTTATATTTAATATAATATAAATATTAAAAAATAAAATAATAATTATAAGTAATTTCATATCAACCCGAAACCCAACCTGATTTTTATATTTCAGGTTATCAGGTCAATCCGAAATCCGACCCGAACACGATATGAAATTTTTACATTTTGAATTTAGGTCAACCCGATTTTTGGCAAACCCGAAACACCCAAACTCGAACTTAAAAAATTTTAGGCTGAACAGGTTCGATTTTTTGGCTAGGATTTAATTTTGGCACCCCTAATCAATATTGATCTTAAGGTTTAAGATTTGGAATAGTTTCAAGAAATTACTTTTGGTTCCTTCTCCCCATCCAAAATGGAAGCACTCATAAAACCGCAAAAAATCTTGAACGGAGGTAAGTTCTCTATGAACGTTTGAGTGAATGTTTTTTCTTCTTTTCAGGTTAGGATGATTGGAATGTATCTCTGCAAGTAGGAACCACTTTGGGCTCAATTCACAGATAAAGATATGGGAAAATTAGAATGGACATCACTACTTGTTCCACATTCAAAGGCTGATTATCCAACCCCAAAGGTTTTCGCCTCATCCTTGATGGAGAGATCCCATATTTGAAGCCACTTCTACATGAGTGCTAAATATGTGGAAAACCAGTTGATAATGTGTTTATTGACA